CAGTTCAAAGGCATCAAATCTCCTTCTATCATCTCTGGTCATTGTCCAGCTTTCTGATGCATAGCAAGTAATTGCAGAGACTATGACCTGGATCAGGTACACTTTAATCTGCAGACTGACATCATTGCTCTTCAGTACTCTGGAGAGGTCCCTGACAACAGAATTTCCCAATGCAATTCATCTTTTTAATTTCTTGGCCGCTGGTGGTATATGGTTCAAATCGACCAGCTGCTCTGCATGAGAAAGATGAGAAACCTCCTCCTATGCTATTTACATCCACTGAAAATCCACCCTGAGGGTCAGTTATGAATCAGACTCAAATGCCCATAGCAACAACATAACATATGCAATTCAAATGATATACAGTAAATATACACACAAGCCAAATGCTTAAGCTGATTTTTCTCATAGTGTTGGAAAAACAAGATGAAAATATGTTAACTGGTAATTCTTTGAACAATTCTTTCAGAAAAGTAGAATATAATTTTGTTACATTCTACTTTTCTGAAATTATGACATTTTTAAAAAAATAAATAAGATGAAAATAAAGAGAGGTTATATACTTGGTGCCCTATGGTTAAGAAGCCACCCTGCAATCTCAAGGCATTCAGCTAGAATCCACCAGCTGCTCTGTATGAGAAAGATGGGGAATCTCCTTCCTTTGGTTAACCTGCTTCTGAAAACCCACCAGGGGGTCATACAGGCTGGCTCCAACTTGACAGTACACAACAACAATAACATACTAACAAAAAACAATAAAATGTTTAGATATGTCCCTATAAACAAATCCTTAGCTAAGAAGCGAGAAATGACTCAGGCTAACTACATAATAGAACTGAATCTATGAGACCACTCACTAATTCATTGCTGTCAATTCAGAACTGACTTCCCAACTGGGAGTCAACTGACCCTTTACCAAGATTTTAGAGACTGTAAATCACACAGGAGAAAACTGACCATCTTTTCCTCATGGAGCCGGCCTTAGGGATTCAAAACAGCAGAGAGAACCACTGGATTACCAGCCCAAATCCCTACATGGCATCAGGGCTTCCAGTATGACATGGAGAACTAAATACAAACTTACTAAGTCAGCAGTGAGGCTGAAATGATGAAGAGTTTAATCAGTGCTCTGGGTTTTTAAAGGAATCCACTTATGGAGGTATTCCAGATATAATTAAACACTGCACTGTTTGAGAAGTGTTTGGCCAGTAGAGCTACTCTTTATTTTTACTTTAGGAGGCACAGGGCACACAGAGGTAAGGCTTCCCTCAATGTTGTTGTGTACTATGAAATCAGAACTGACCATAGTGGATCCTCCAGCAGGTTTTCAGAGGCTGTAAACCGAACAGGAGGAGACAGCCCATCTTTCCCTGAAGGAGAAGTCACTGGATTCAAACTGTGTACCATTGAGATTGTAGTACAGCTTCTAATCAAGCCAACAGAGCACCCTTGCCCTACATAAGAAGATAAAAGGCATAGGTTAATAGGATTTCCAAAATTGGAAGTAGATGGTCAAGATAGTGTGGAAGTTACAATTATCACTAAAATCGCAGGCAAGCAAAATCTTGCTGAAGAGAATCAAAAACAATTGGAAGAGTACCTTGACAGAAAAGTGCCAGAAATACAAGCTGGGTTTAGAAGAGATCATGACACAAGAGACATAATTTCCAATGTCAAATGGACACTAGCTGAAAGTACAGAGTACCAGAAGAATGTCTATCTGTGTTTCACTGACTGTGCAAAGATTTTTGACTGTGTAGATCACAATAAATTATTGGCTAACCTTGAGAAGAACACCTGACTGTGCTTATACGAAACCTATACTTGGACCAGGAGACAGTTGTCAAAACAGAGCAGGGAAACATTACATGGTTCAAAATCAGGAAAAGAGTGCATTAGGGATGAATTCTGTCTCCATACCTTTTCAATCTATACGCAGGTCAGATCATACAGAAGGCTGAGCCCTGTGAGAAGAAATGTGGATCAGGATTGGAGGAAGACTCATCAACAACCTCTATGCAGAGGACACAACCTTGTTTGCCAGAACTGTGAAAAACCTGAAGCATTTGCTACAGGAGGTGAAGAAATGCAGCCTTCACTATGGATTGCATCACAACATGGAGAAGAGATTGAGGTTGTTAACAATTTCATCTTGCTTGAATCCACAATCAACACTCTTGGCACCAGCAGTCAAGAATTCAAAAGACTAGTTGCTCTGGGAAAATCTGCTGTTAGGGACATATCTAGAAAGCTAAAGAGCAATAATGTCAGTCTAGAAACTAAGGTGTACATTATCCAGGCCATGGTCTTCTCAATTACTTGCTATCCATCTGAGAGCTGGATCTTGAATAAGGATTACAGAAGAAGAACCAATGCCTTTGAGTTGTGGTGCTGGAGAAGATTATTGAAGAGTATTGGAGAAGAGTATCATGGATCACCAAGAGAACAAACAAGTCTATCCTGGAGAGGATGAAATGAGGTTGCTCCTTGGAGGCAAAGACTCTGAAGCTCTGTCTCACATACTTTGGGCATGTTGCCAGGAAGGACCAGTCCTTAGAAAAGGACATCATGCTTGGAAGGGTGGAGGGAGAGCTCAGGAGAGGAAGACAGTGGATGAGATGGATTGACACAGCTGTGTCGATTGGGTCAGGTGCATCAGAGACGGGTAAGATTGGCTCAAGGTAGGCAGGGTTCAGAGCTACTGTTCATAGGTGTGCAATGAGTTACAGTCAACTGGACAGCACATAACAACAACAGCACAAGCAAGCAGGAAAATATGTGCTAGACAGCTGCTAAATAACAAAGGACTCTAATGGAGGAACTTATCCACTAAAAATAAGCAGCATGTTTAAAATTATTTAAGTGCTAACATAAGCCACTGTTATATATTAATACCAGTGTACAGAAGATCATAAAGTACTAATCCTTCCCTTTTATTCAGCTAAATATAATGAGGTGGGGGAAAGCAAATTTTTTTTAAAGCAAATATTTTTAAATGAGGGAAAGAGTGGACTTAAAATTAAACATAATTTGGATTGCTTCTTCTTCTTCTTGTTACTTGGCTGTCCAGTCGCCTGTGACTTGTAACAACCCTATGTACAGCAGCCCTAAACCCTGCTCTATCCTGTGCCAATCTCACTGTCTCCGACACACCTACCCTTATTACCCCAGTCACTGAATCAATTCATCTCATTAAGGGTTTTCCTCTCCTGCACTGTCCCTCTACCCTTCCAAGCAAGGATTGATCCCTCCTTGCAACATGCCCAAAGTATGTTAGACGAAGCTTCAGAATCCTTGCCTCCAAGGAGCAGCCTGGTTTAACCCTCTCTAGGATAAACCTGTTCGTTTTCTTAGCTGTCCATGGTATATCCAATACTCTTCTCCAGCACCACAGCTCAAAGGCATCAATTCTCCTTCTATCATCCCTAGTCATTGTCCAGCTATCTGATGCATAGCAAGTGACTGTAAAGACCATGGCTTGTACCAAGCACACCTTAGTCTCCTGAGTGACACCACTGCTCTTCAGTACTTTGGAGAGGTCCCTAACAGCAGATGTTTCTATCTCAATATGTCTTTTCATTTCCTGGCTGCTGGTGCTATGAATGTTGACTGTGGAGCCAAGTAATCTAAAACTGCTAATCTCAATCGCTTCACCATCCATCCTGATGCTGCCAATTGGCCCAGTGGTAAGAAGCTTTGTTTTCTTGATATTGAGCTGCAATCCATATTGAAGGCTGCAGTTCTTGACCCTCTGCAGCAAGCATTTCATGTCCTCTTCAGTTTCAGCAAGCAGGGTTATGTCATCTGCATAACGCAGATTGTTGATAGATCTTCCTCCAATCCTGATGCCTCAATTCTCCTCATAGAGTGCAGCCTCCTGGATAATCTACTCTGCATACAGGTTGAAAAGGTATGGAGACAGAACACATTCCTGGCATACACCCTTCCCAATTTTGTTTAGTAAGCTCAAAAAAAAATCTTTATTCAAGCATATTTCGGTCAACACTGATTACACAATAAAGTAGAAGCTGTGAAGGTAAAAACATTTTCTATACAGCAGGGATGATGCTACCCTATCATGCTGCTTTTTCATGTTGCTTTACAAGCTGCAAGTCATCCTTGACACTAAAATAGAAAATAAGTTATTAATTTTTTTAAAGCTTCTAAACACCAAGCATATATATAATTTCTTTTAAAAATCTGTAAGCATTATACAAAATCAAGCTTAAAACTGATAATAAAAGAAATGGTCCACTTACTTTTGCAGTGCCATGAAAAAATGCTAATTTTTACTTATAATCACTTCAAGAGGAAGCACATGATCAAGAATTAACAGTGCTGAAGAAAGATGTCCAAAGTGTACTGAGGACACTGGTCAGAAAGAAAACAACAAAGCTTCAGGAACTGAAGAAAATGGATGGAGATATTTCAAACAAAAGGGGTGCGAAGCATGCTAAGAAACCAAGAAGACCCACCAGAAGAGATGTGTGCCCATTCCAAAGAAAGATGACCAAACAAAATGCACAGGAAGGTGAGCATTATTATTACTATTACATGGGAGTAAAAGACTGCTGAAAATAATTCAAAAAGGGCTGCAAGAGCATTATCAAGAGAGAACAGCCAGAAATTCAAGCTCAGCTCAGAACAGTAATCCGCACAGGTTCATACCAGTAAGTCATGAGGATCTTGGCTGAAGGCAAAAACAAACCTTTCAATCTAATAGTTCTTTTAATTTGTAAGCTTTAACTTTCAAAAAAATCAAGATACAAGGTAGATATTATCGTGCTGTGTTGTGGTATCACTGAACAGAGGAATATTCAAGCACTGTTGTAAACATTGGTAACAATTACTGACTGCTGCTAAAAAAAAAATAATACAAACGCAGACTCAAAACACGAGTCTCTCTTGACTATGGTGTATTATATCCCACACTCTTTTTAAACTATTTTTAGGTCATTAGAAAAGCAAACTAAAGGGGGGCGGTGCGGTCTCTCGCCCGCCTGTCGCGGTCCGTCCGACGGCAGTCCGGGGAGGCGGAGGCGGCGGGAGGAGGTGGGGGCGGTGGTGGAGAAACCCGGGGGCGTGCGAGGCGCCCCCCCCCCCGATCCTCGCCGCGCCCCCCCAACCCCGCGTCCCCTCCCCCCTCCCGCATCTCCCCGTTCTCCCCACCCGCGCGCGAGGCTGGTTTAAAAATCTTATTTAAAAAAAAAAAAAGAAAAGAAAAGCAAACTAAATAAATGTATTCAAGAAGCAACAGTGACATTATTTCCCTTTTTTGTTTTTAGCCAGCATTTCTCTTATCTTTATGTTTCCTAACAAAACTCACTGTTAATAACTTTAGTTTACTTGGTTCCACTATCAATACTCTTGGTACCAGAAGCCCCAAGAAATCAAAAAACGAATTGCATTGGGCAAGTCTGCTGTCAGGAACCTCTCCAGAGTACTGAAGAACAACAATGTCACTCTGGACACTAAGGTGTGCCTGATCCAGGCCACATTCTTTGCAATTACTTGCTATGTATCCAAGAGCTGGACAATAACAAAGGATGAGAGAAGATTGATGCCTTTGAGCTGTGGTACTGAATATACTATGGACTGCTAGTAGAACAAACAGGTTTTCCTGGAGAGGGTGAAATCAGGCTGCTCCTTGGAAACAAGGATTCTGAAGCTTCATCTTACATACTTTGGGCATGTTGCAAGTAGGGACCAGTCCTTGGAGAGGGACATCCATCATGCTTGGGAGGGTAGAGGGACAGCACAAGACAGGAAGACCCTTGATGAGATTAATTGACTGGAGTCTATTGATGACAGTGACTGGGGTAATGAGAGTAGATGTCATAGACAATAAGATTGGAACAGGATAGAGAAGGATTTCTAAATTCTGATAGAAAAGTCATGTTCTAAACTTAAAAGTAATCAGAGCAGTGTAAAAAGAAAACTGCTTAAAATGTTTTTTCCATGTTCAAGCAAACTAAAAATTTTTTAGAAGTCAACCAATAAGCATGTATACCAATAGCAGTATCATAAACAAAATATTCAATCTGAAGCAAGGACAACCACTTACAGCTAGTTGTTATGTGCTGTCGAGTCACCCATAGCAACCCTATGGACAGCAGCTCTGAAGCCTGCCCTGTCCTGGGCCAGTCTCACCAATTCCGACACACCAACCCCCACTGCCAGCAGTTACTGTATCAATCTATCTCACCTGGGATCTTCCTCTCCTGCACTGTCCTTCCACTCATCCAAGCATGATGCCCTTCTCGCAGCAGTTCATTTTTTTAATTTCTATAAATACATTTGATAAATGTCAATAGTTATAGAAAGGCTTCAGGCCTTTTGTTCATAGGGTTGCTGTGAGTCGTGCTCCAACTTGAAGGCAATCAACAACAACAACAACATAAATACAAGACAGCAATCTATGACTTGTGGTCACAAGTTACCCTTGAGGGCAGAGATACATACTAGAAAAGGGCCAGAGAAGAACAGATAAGCTGTTTCTTGATGTAGGTTTTGATTTCAAGAGTATAATGAGTTAGTGAAAACTGAATTAAACATTTGTGTGTGCAATTTTCTATCTACAGGTAACATAAGCTAAACTTTAGTGGAAGTGAAGAAAAGATGCTCTTCAAATGGTCAGCACACACTGGCTGGACGCCTTGGTGTCTACTCCTCTCATATGACCCCATGTGACAGATCAAAAACACCCCACAGCCACAATCTGACAGAGTAAAAGCCAGGCTCTTCTTTTACAGCCATCAGTAGGCTGGTAATATTAGTTTAAAATAATAATTAATTTTAGCCTTAAATTGCTAGTATTAAAGATGCTGAAAAACTGCATCATTTAAGGAATGTAAAATGGTGTTGTCACTGGGATAGAGAGTCCGTGGTAGTCTATTCAAAAAGCTAAAGATACTATTAACAGACGACTGGGTCGAGCAATTCTGCTTTTAGAATTAAAAGCTAGCACTCAAACACACACCTGGAGACAAATATTCCCAGCAGCTCTACTCAGAAAAGCTAACTGGGAGAAAGGATCCAAATCCCGCCAAGCTGAGTGCATAAACAACATGCAGTATGTCCACATCCCAAACCTGTTGCTGTTACTAATAGTGACTCTAAGGGTTTCTAGAAGACTTTCAATCTCTCTGGCAACAGACTCCCATACTTCTCTCTGGTCAAGGAGCTATGGCCTTGAACTGTCAGGTATTGTTTCACCAAAGAAGGTGATCAAGGAAGACCCTTGAAAACAATGGGTGAAAAGACTCAGACAAAACAAAGTCCCGTGCTGTGTGACCCCATTACTCAAAATGTTCACCACAAGCAAGGCCACAGAGAAGGAAGCAGGGGCATTGTTCCCAAAAGCTGAGGAGAGGAAAATGGAGAGAGACTGCTTCCCGACTGACTGAGGTGGGGCTTTGGTGGGGGTGTGATTAAGAAGTTCTGGAACTAGACAATGGTGATGACTGTGTGATGTTGTGACTAGACCTGTTGTTGTTGTTGCTGTGTACCATGTACTCAGAGGCTGTTAATCACACTGTAGGAGACTGCTCATCCTTCTACTGCAGAAAAGCTGGTGGATTCGGACCACCTGCCTCTTGAGATTACCACCAGGCCATGTACTCAATGCCACTGAACTGTGCACTTTAAAACGGAAACAACAGTACACTTTACTGATCAAGAAACAGTAAGTGGTTTTTAATCTCCATACTGAGCCCATAATCTAAAAACAACTTCATATTATGAAATATTTTGGAAATAAGAAATTATGCATATATTAGTTCTAATTCATATTGGTCATTTTAAGACTCAACTACTGGTCAAAATCACACACACACAAAAAGCTTAATAATAAAAAAAAATCAAACTATTTTTGTAATAGCATAAGGTGGGGAATCCAAATATCAAACTATATGACAATGTGTGAGTATGTTTTAATATATTTATAAAAAGAATTATTCTATCATAAAAATTTTTCTAAAGGCATTTCTTTATATCAAGAATGTTTATATTATGAAGCAAATGTGAAAAAGCACAGTGTTATTCGCTAAAGACAAGCCAAACTATGTATTTAAAAAAAAAAAAAATTAAACACACTTTACAATGATTCTGCATATGGACAATTTATTTCCTTTCTGCTTTTGTCTCTGGAACAAAGCAAGCCAAGGGCCTGTGGACTACAATTCCTCCTGATCCCCCCTCATAATCACCTCTTCATCTTCCAAGTCAACGCAAATGACTGCCAAAGAGCTTTCCCTAAGCCCTCACGAAGGAAGGAGTGATCCCCTGTCCTCTTCTCACAACACAGTTAATCTCCATCCTCACATTTACTCCTTCCAATGTGACTGATTGGGGCAACCTTCTCTCCCATCAACAACTAGAACTGCAAGCTCCTGGCATTCAGAGCCTCTTTACTAGTTTAACCTCTCCATATACCTAAGCCAGAGGAAAGTCCTTTGTTTTCATAATGAGTATTTCTATAGGTGTTCTGTTGACCCCATGGTAAGGAGTTGCACTGGCAACCCAAAGGTACAGTTCAAATCCACTAGCTCTTTAGGGAGAAAGATGAGCAATCTCCTCCTGTGCAATTAATGACTTTTTTCACTCAAAGCAGTAAATTTAAAATTAATTAAGCATTCAAGAAATACTAAATTAAGGTTTTCTATCTAACTACATTTACTCTTCTATGTTGTTCTGTACCTGAAATCTAGGTTCACAAGAACATTATTTTCACATAATAATTACATATATATATATTTCATCAATATATAAACACGATTCTTTTCTGATGTGTTATTTTTCATAGCACACATTTAGTGTATGGTACCATGATGGCCTTCCCTCACCAAAGGCCAGCAGCTAACTGACCATCAGCTCTCGAGAGAAAGGTGTACAACCCTTTCTAGACCAGTTCACAGCCTGGAAACTCGCTAAAGCGGTGAGAGCTGGGATCCATTCTGCAGCACTGGAATTGATTTTGGTAAGGTTTTCAGTGGTCTCTCTTACATAATCACTGGGGGCATACAGGCCAAGTGTAGTAGTTAACCAAAACGGAAAAAGATGAGGCAGTCTCCTCTCAGATTTACAGCCTCAGAAAATCCAACGGGGGAAAGGGAGTCAAAGGCTTGGCTTCTTCCAACACAAATTCTGCTTCTATTCCACCATCTCAGCCTACCCTCCATATCCCACACAACCACCCGCTCCCCATCCCGTCAACAAACCCTTTGAGTCATACACTTTAAAAGTCTTATTCCGGCGCAAGCAGGGCGACGCGGCATGCAAGCAGGGTGACACGGCACATGTGATTGGAGAAGAGATTTTGTATGAAGTCAGTAATTTTAAATTTAATGAGAATTGTGTTGTGACTTAAAATGTAGTCAGTATTAAAGAATAAAGTATGAACCCTGGAGAAATTTATTGTCCAATTGTTGGATGAAATATAATAAGAGTGAATAAAAAAAAATCTTATTCCAAGACGTGAGAATTATTGTTCAATTATGCTGAGGTAATAAATTTTAATTTTTTCCCCCACAAAAAAGTCAATTTGAAAATAAAACATTATTTCCTAAGAGAGATTCAGATTTTCTAAGTGCATATATTCCATGTTGTTGAATGGCTGAAATCCAATTTCACAAGAACATAGTTATACATCGTTGTTGTTTATGTGCCATTGAGTCACGTGAGACTCAACAGAGACCCTAAGTACAATAGCTCTGAACCCTGCTCTATCCTGAGCCGATCTTATTGTCTCTGACACACTTACTCCCATTACCCTAGTCCCTGAATCAATCCATCTCATTAAGGGTCTTCCTCTTTTATGCTGTCTCTCCATTCTCTCAAGCATGATGTTCCTCTCCAAGTACCAACCCCTCCTTACAACATGCCCAGAGTATGTCAGATGGAGTTTCAGAATCCTTGCCTCCAAGGAGCAGCCTGGCTTCACCCTCCCCAGGACAAACCTCTTAGCAGTCCATGGTATATTCAATACTTTTCTCCAACACCATAGCTCAAAAGCATCAATCTTCCTTCCTATCATCCCTAGTCACTGTCCAGCTTTCTGACATATAGCAAGTAATTGTGAAAACAATGGCCTGGATTAAGCACACCTTAGTCTCCAGACTGACACTGTTGCTCTTCAGTTCTGGAGAGGTCCAT